GCGCCGCCGCCGCGGCCCTGGCAGGTAAGCCCAGCCTGGGGAGACGTCGTCGCGGCGGGTTGCGACCCGAGGGGTGCCCCGCGCGGGCGAGGGGTGCGAAGAGCCCGCAGTGGAGGCGGGGGGGGCGGCTTGCGCGAAGCCTGACGTGGGTGTGGGGTGTGGGCTGGCCGACCGGGAATTCCGGGCAGTCCCTGGGCGGGGAGCCCGCGGGCACCCGAGCAGCCGCGGGACGGCGGTCGCTCCTCCCGGCGCCCGCGCCCCGGATCACCCCTCCGAGGCCCGAGACGCTGCCTCTGCCCCTGCGTGACTCGGGACACTCTGCGGCTCGTCTTCTCCCACCCCCGCGCCGCCGCTCCCTGCAGCCGAGCGCGGCCGAGGTCCGCGAATGTCTCCGCGTGAACAAAGGAAGAGCGACTGCAGGGCTCGGGAAAGGGCCGCCTCTGCCCGCCACACGTTCTTCATCCCGGCCTGGCTGACCGCAGCCCCTGCTTCCCCCGGGGCCTGAGTTAGAAGCGGGGCCCAGGCCTTCCTTCCCTGCAGCTGCGTGCGGCGGAGGTCAGCCACAGGCTGGAAAAGTGACTCTGACTGGGGCGGGGGTGCGTTTGCTAGTGAGTGTGAGAGTCCAGATGCTCCTTTTCCTAGGATCGGACAGATGGGGGGTGGGCAGCACTCAGGGCAGGACTCAGAAATGCCCGGACCCCCAGTCGTGTTGGTGTTGATGGCAGGGAGTCAACTGGAACCAGACTTTTAATCCCAGCTCAGCTCCATCCAGACAGTGCCTTCCCTGGGTCAGCCTCCTCCTTCCCTCTGACACTAACTGCCCATACTTATAAGCCAAATTTAAGAACTCCAAGAAAAGAAAAGAAGAAGGAAAAGAAAAAGGAAAGAAGACCTCAGTGAGGAAGTGTTTTGCTGGTTCTTTCTCAGGGACAGACTGTGGTAGGTTGGGGAGCTCTTAAATAGTCTCAAGAATTGAGAAGTTTTCACCCATGTGAAGCTCAGGGTGTGGTTTAGATTTGTTTCTTCTGCCAACATCACTTAGAAAGGTCCTTAAATTCCATAGCTCCTTGATAAGGGGAGCCTTGCAGATGAAGATGTGTGCTCCCGGCCAAATGGTTGTTTTCCTTTGAGACAGATGGATTTGAATCCTGACTTCACCTCTCCCCAGCTTCAGATCTTGAGCAATCTCTGTTCTGCCCTCCCTGGGCCTCCTTCAGTTGGGATCTGGGCTTTGGCAAAATGTTGGTAACTGCCTGAGCTGGGTGATGGCTTAGTGCTGGTTGGTTACTTTATATTAGTGCTACCCCTCACTGGGGGGGAGGGGGGTCTATGCAGCATTTGGGACTTGTCTGCCATGAGTCCGACTGGGAGAGAAATATTTAGAAACTTTGCAATTTGACATTGCCCCAACAGCTGAGGCCATGCCCCTCTTTCTAGTAATTATCTTTTATTGTCTTTTACCGAAGTTTGGGTCAGTGTGATGCATGAGAAATAAACTGGTGTGGGGGCACCTGGGTGGCTCATTTGGTTAAGCATCAGACTCCTGATTCAGCTCAGGTCATGAGATCAAGCCCCATGTCAGCTCCCCTGGGCGTGGAGCCAGCTTAAGATTCTCTCTCTCTCTCCTCTCTCACCCTCGCCCTCTGTCGCTCCCCACCCCCCCCCAAAAAAAGAAGAAGAAAGATAGAAACTGGTCCTTCATCACAGATCCTTTGAAAAATAGCACCATGTTATACTAATCTCTTTTGTGACTACTTGAAATTTTTTTATAATAAACCATTAAAAAAAACTAACTGGGATATTTTTAAGAGAAACTATGTTAGTCAAAGCACAGAGTGGAACTATTAACAATGGTTACATGGTAAATGGGTAGTAGAAAAATTTCCACGCTTTTTCATAATTCACAATTGTCCTTCAGTAATTATGAGGTTGCTTTTATGGTTAGAAAAAAGATAAGTGTTGGAAGCAAATTTTTAAGAAGGAAAACTTCTAATATCTACCCCTTAGAGTTGTATGTTAAGGATAACATACATAAAATATTGGACCTGATCTAAATTGTAGTGTAGGGGAGGGAAACTTTTCCTTTCTTGCCTTCTAGGTTCTTCCACTGGTCTAATAATTAAGTTGACATGAGACAGAGTAACAGGAGAAAAACAGATTTAATTTTGTACCTATAGGAGCTTATAAAAATATAAGACTCGAAGAAGTGACCAAAGAAAGCAGCTTTCATACCTTTTAGATATAGAAACAATGATTTGCAGAGATTTAACCAAACAAGGGGATTTGAATTTGGGGTCTCAAATTAATGAAGAAGTAACAAAGTTTGTTTATACAGCCTTTTCAGCCTTGAATCTCCTATCTCTGAGTAAAGATGCCCTTTACCCTCCTGGTATAGGGAGGATACCTTCACAGGAGAGATTTATTTCCTGCTTTTAAGGGGATAAAGGAAAATCAGAGTGTCCTTCTTGCACCGACTGTTTTTTAAGTAACTTTAATTCCAAATAATTAATATGCAAAAAAAAAAAAAATCAACATGCCAAAGTGACATATTTTGGGGTTGCATATTTTGCTCCCCTCAGTAGTAATGCTTTAAGCAGTGGCCATTTGCTTTAGATTAAAAATTAATCAACTCCACTAAAGTGCAGTAAATCAACTGTCTCTCTGACCATTTACCTGAATGTTGACGAATTGAGGCTTCTCTTTGTATTTGTACCTGCTGCTTAGTTTTGCAGTAGATTGGAAAGGTACTTGTGCCTTAGAATTTTACTACTGTGATTTGCTAACTTGACCAATTAAAGCTTCTTCGAATGCGAAGAGAGACCACTGAGAAAGATAGTAAATGCCCAACAACCTGAAAACCATTGCAAATGTTAATGTGCATTAAGTAACTCTTTTCTTTTACGATTTATTTATTTTCGAGAGAGAGTGCAGGGGGAGGCGCAGAGGGAAAGAGAGAGAGAGAAGCAGACTCCCCGCTGAGCACGGAGCCTGACATAGGACTCAATCTCACAACCCTGAGATGGTGACCTGAGCCAAAATCAAGAGTTGGATGCATAACTGACTGAGCGACCCAGACACTCCTGCATTAAGTAACTCTTATTTGCCCATAATCTCAACAGTTAAAACTCCTAAGTAGCTGACATGTTTTGGGGCAAACTAAAAATGATAGTAATAGCATGTATTAGGCCACTCTTCTAGGTCAGACAAGGTTTTATAAACATTCTCTGTCTTTATTTTCTCCACCATTCTTTTCAAGTAGGTAATAGCCCCATCTACTCTCAAGGAAACAAAATTGTCCTTTATAGGAAGAGACAAATGGTCTAGGTAAATAAGCTGATGTTGAGGATTTACTGATCAGAGCAACTTCCTGGTTACGGCTGAGGATTCAGGGATTGTTTTTTGACTTCTCCTCACCTGCAAGGTCATTGATGTTCATCATAACGCCCCATCCATGGAGGGGTCTTTGGATGTCAAGATTAAATGATTAATTTTAATGTTAATTTATTTTAATGTACTTCATTATCTGTGTGTGATGTGTAGGGTTTTTTTAAAAGATTTTATTTGTTGTATTTGAGACAGAGCAAGGGAGCGAGCGAGAGAGAGAGAGAGAGAGAGCATGAGTGGGGATGGGTGAGGGGTAGAGGGAGAGGGAGAAGCAGACTCCCCACTGAGCAGGGAGCCCGACGCAGGGAGCCAAGGAGGGACTCAATCCCAGGACCCCAGGATCATGACCTGAGCCGAAGGCAGATGCTTAACCAACTGAGCCACCCAGGCGCCCCTCTGTGCGTGATGTATGTTAACCAAACTATCCTTTTGAGACGCAGGATAGCCTATTCTTAAGGTGAAGTCTCAAATGCCTGGAGTCCAGGGTGGATCAGAGGTCATGGGCAGGGCAGGAAGGGGGCACAGGAGGAGCTGTAGTCACGAGGGGCAGAGGACACTCCACACAGGTGATCCCTACATTATCTCTTCTTACCATTGATAGTTTATGAGGATTACCCCAAGGGCATGGAGAGGGGAGGGGAAGTGGAACTTTGTACCCCCTACTATTACTGTGAGCTTTTATCTTGTAGGAGCTGGGTGTCATTAAAGCCCTGGTGTCCCCCTCCAGGGACCATATTAGTGCCTGTTGTAACAAATCACCGCCAACTTAGTGCCTTAAAATAGCAAGAGAATTTATTATCTTACAGCTCTGGAGGTCAGAAGCCAGATGCTGGTTCCATTGGGCTAAAATCAAGGTGTCAATAAGGATACGTTCCTTTCTGGAGGTTCTAGGGGGAGATTCATTGACTTGCCTTCTCCAGCTTCCAGAGAAACACCGTTGTGATGACATGGGGTCCACCCAGCTATTTGAGGATAAGCTCCCTATTTTAAGGTCTTTTGATGAGGAACCTAAATTCTGTCTACAACCTCAGTTCCCCTTTGCCATGTAACCTAATATAATCACAGGACACAGACATCTTTGGGGGCCACTATTCTGCCTACATCGGAGTCAGACCATTGATACAGTGCCCAGCACAGGGCTCAGCACCCTGTTGCGGGTCCCTGAAGGCAGAGTCTGGGTGACTGGTTGTTGCTCACCACCTGTGCAAGCAGCCACATCATGAGGAATCAGGACACCCTGAAACAGTCACGTCTTAGAAATTTACTCAGACAGCAGTGTCTAATTTGCCTTTCATTTGTGCTCTTGCATTTGCCCCTCACTACAAGCCCGGGAGAGATGGCATTGTTCCACGAGTCAGGAGGAAACCGAGGCTCAGCTGGGTTGTTGGCAGGGTCTGTGGCTGTAGGTCGCAGGATCAGCCTTCCAGCCTATGCCCTTTGTCCATAAGTTTGGTTCTCTTCCCACTGAGCCTTTATGGACACCTTTGACAGCAGGCACTATGACCCTAAGAATGCTGACTCTTTGGAGCCAAACAGATAAGTCACAGCCCAGCGTTGTCCACCCACTCCCTGACGCAGCAGAGACCAGACAAAAGGGAGGAACTTAAGCATAAAGCAAGGAAGGAAAAGGGGAACCTAAGCTCTGCCTGGTTTTCCAGTGGATGAATGCACCGCTGAGGACAAGAAGTTGGTTATGTAATCTCTGAAGGCGAGCACGCTGCTGGGCTTCAGGCCAGTCATTCCCCAGATCCTGAGTGCCTGCTATTCCATGCAGGGGGGGGAGGGGAGGGGTAAAACGATCCCCAAATCCAACAACACCCAGTCTTCCTGGAGCTCCCCACTCTCGTGTTCAGGGAGACTGTGGATAAACTGCTGGCAATGAGGAGAGGCACGGATCACAAGGTGCTTGCCCTGTCCTCAGCCCCGAGCATGAAACTAACTCATTCTGTCCTCATAACAACACCATGAAGTCTGTACTGTACCCATTTTACAGATGAGACAGCTGGGGCACAAAGAAGTTAAACAACTTGCCCAAGGCCCTAAGGTGCGTGCATATTTAAACTCAGGCAGTCTAGTTCTGGAATCCATGCTCCTAAGCACCGTGGTGTAAACAAAGGACCCAGGTGGTGAACAAGCACCATGCAGACGAGTCAGGCAGGGACAGGGAACCCCGCACCCTGGGCATTTTACACAGGAAACCACTCTAGTAAGAGCAGAGACCTGAGGGAGGAGGGGAGAGAGCTGTGGCATAGCTGGAAAGAAGGTTCCAGAGAAGGAGCGGCAAGGGCAGGCTCTGAGTTTCCCAGGAACAAGGAGGGCCCCGTGGGGGCCATGGTGCAGGGGCGAGGCAGTTCAAGGACAGGCCTTCTGAGAGATGCAGAGGGCAGTGTGATGAGGCAGTTGCTAATGAGTGGGCAGTCTTTGGTGCTTCATTGTGAAACCCTCAGTTGTAAGACTGTTATTGTCTCTGAATGTGGTAAGACGGGATTCCAGGAAAGTCAAATGTCAGAGTAAAACTGTGGATCAGCTCCCCACACCTCGGGAAAACGGAAGCTGAAGAAAGTAGAGGGCTCATCTGGAGACTCCACGTTTACGGGGAAGCCTTTCTTCTGGGCCACCTGTCAGTTGGGGTGGAAGTCCACTCTTCTTGGTCGGCCCGTTGGTGCTTCCTTCCTTAGCTGAATGTCTGGATCTGGGAGATGGGGGTACCAGGAGACGGCTCCTCCCCAGAGACGGGATGGGGAAGGGCACTGTGGCAGGCAAAGTAACGGTCCCCAAAGAGGTCCACATCCTAAGCCACAGAGCCTGTGGCTGTGTGACCTCACGTGGCAAATGGGACCTTGCAGGTGTGACCAGGGATCCTGAGATGGTGAGATGACCCTGGATGGTAGGGCTCCGTGGGCCCAGTGTCATCATAAGGGTCCTCGAAGAGGGAGGCAGGAGAGTCAGACCAGAGTGGTGACATCATGAGAAGGAATCGGCCCTGTCTCTTCAATAAATGGTGCTGGGGAAACTGGATAGCACCATGCAGAAGAATGGAACCGGACCGCTTTCTTACACCACACACAAAGATAAACTCAAAATGGATGAAAGATGTGAGAGAGGAAACCATCAAAATCCTAGAGGAGAACACAGGCAGCAACCTCTTCGAACTTGGCCTCAGCAACCGCTTGCTAGACAGGTCTTCAAAGGCAAGGGAAACAAAAGCAAAAATGAACTATTGGGACCCCATCAAGATAAAAAGTTTCTGCATAGCAAAGGAAACAGTCGACAAAACCAACAGGCAGCCTCCGGAATGGGAGAAGATATTTGCAGATGACATAGCTGATAAAGGGTTAGTATCCAAAATCTATAAAGAACTTACCAAACTCAACACCCAAAAAACCAAATAATCCAGTTAAGAAATGGGCAGAAGACATGAATAGACATTTTTCCAAAGAAGATGTACAGATGGCCAACAGACACATGAAAAGATGCTCAACATCACTCATCATCAGGGAAATGCAAATCAAAACCACAATGAGATACCACCTCACACCTGTCAGAATGGCTAAAATTAACAACACGGGAAACGACCGGTGTTGGCGAGGATGCAGAGAAAGGGAAACCCTCTTACACTGTTGGTGGGAATGCAAACTGGTGCAGCCACTCTGGAAAACAGTGTAGAGGTTCCTCAAAAATTAAAAATAGAGGGCACCTGAGTGGCTCAGTCAGTTGAGCATCCAGCTCTTGATTTTGGCTCAGGTCATGATCTCAGGGTCGTGAAATTGAGCCCCACGGGCGCCTGGGTGGCTCAGATGGTTAAGCGTCTGCCTTCGGCTCAGGTCACGATCCCAGGGTCCTGGGATCGAGTCCCGCATCGGGCTCTCTGCTCCTTGGGAGCCTGCTTCTCCCTCTGCTTCTCTCTCTCTCTGTCTCTCATGAATAAATAAATAAAATCTTTTAAAAAAAAAAGAAATTGAGCCCCACATTGGGCTCCGTGCTCTGCACAGAGTCTGCTTGGGATTCTCTCTCTCCCTGTCCCTCTTGTCTCTCCCTCTGCTCTCTCTCTCTCCCTCCCTCTCTCTCTCAAATAAATAAAATCTTTTTTAAAAAGTTAAAACTAGAACTGCCCTATGATCCAGCAATTGCACTACTAGGTATTTACCCAAAGGATACAAAAATACAGATTCTTAGGGGCACATGCACCCCAGTGTTTATAGCAGCACTATCAACAATAACCAAACTATACAAAGAGCCCAAAGGGCCATCGACTGATGAATGGATAAAGAAGATGTGGTATAGCCATACAGTGGAATATTACTCAGCCATCCAAAAGAATGAAATCTTGCCATTTGCAACAATGTGGATCTAGTTGGAGTGTGTTATGCTAAGTGAAATAAATCAGAGAAAGACAAATACCATATGATTTCACTCGTGTGGAATTTAAGAAACAAAACAGATGAACAGAGGGGAAGAAAAAAAAGAGAGAGAGAGAAACCAAACCATTAGAGACTCTTAACAATGGAGAACAAACTGAGGGTTGATGGAGGGAGGTGGGTGGGGGATGGGTTGATGGGCATTAAGGAGGGCACTTGTTGTGATGAGCACCGAGTGTTATACGTAAGTGATGAATCACTGAAGTCTACTCCTGAAACCAATATTGCACTGTATGTTAACTAACTAGAATTTAAATAAAAATTTAAAAAGGGGTACCTGGTTGGCTCAGTCGGTTAAGTGTCTGACTCTTGATTTCAGCTCAGGTCGTGATCTCGGGGGTCGTGGGATCAAACCCATGTCAGGCTCCGTGCTCAGTGCAGAGTCTGCTTGGGTTTCTCTCTCCTCTCCCTGTGCCCCTCCTGCTTGTGCTCTCTCTCTATAAAATAAATGAATAAATCTTCAAAAAAAATTGTTTTAAGAAAAATAAATAAATGGGTAGTCACTTAAAAAAAAGACAGAGAGAGAGAAGGAATCAGCCCATTGTTGCTGGGGGAAGGAGTCAGAGCCAAAGAATGTGGGCTGCTTCTAGAAGCTGCCTGAGGCAAGGAGCCATTTCTCCCCCAGAGCTTCCAGGAGGAACCCAGCCCCGCCAACACCCTGACGTTAGCCCAGTGAGACCAGTTTCAAACTTCTGATCTCCAGAACTGTAAGCGATCAAGCTGGGTTGTTTTAAGACACTAAATCGGCGCTACTTCATCTCAGCATCCATAGGAAACTGATAGGAAAGTAAAAGGAGGTTTCTGAGACTCTGACGAGTGCCCGGCCCTAAGGAAGCCCTCCCCTGGGGGGTGGGGGGTGCTGCATCTTGCTCCCAGCAGCAGGCCTCCAGTCAGCTGCGCTCTTGATCCGCCGGGGCCGCACAGCAGCCGCAGTGGGCCAGATGGGCCTGCCCAGCAGAACAGCCTCCCTCCAGACGGCCCCAGCCTGCCTGCCTTTGGCCCTGGTGTGAACTGGCAGAAATGTTGGTTAGCCGGTTGAATAAGGAACTGGAACGAAGGTCCTCCTGAGCTCAGAGCTGTGGAGACAGTGGGCCTTCTGGAAGTAAACAAGTGGCCACAGACTCTTGGTAACGCACCTTTCAGAAGAAGAGCTGGCCACCATTCCCGGAGATTGGATGTGCTTACCGAAAACATATGGTTTGAATTTCCTGCTCTGAATTCTGGAACAGCATGTTCCAGAACCTTTCTTTCCACCTCCTGGGCATTTTCTCATTCCTCTTTCAATCTCAGAGAGAGGCCCATCGTGATCGTGTTTTCTTGCAAGAGAAGAGGCTCCTGCGCTTGTGGTCCCCAGCCCTGTCCTGTGAAGTGCCTGCTTGGGTTGTGCCTCCCAGGTCACCCCAGGACGGGGCTCTGACCTTGGTGGTGGATCCCCAGGGGCGGGTGTGATTTGGCTGTTCGTGGATTTCCTGGTCTGGGGGGTGGGCCTGGGGATCTGCATTTTAAGCGGGATCTTGGTGATTCTGATACTGGGGGTCCTTGGGAAACACTGCAACTCTTTACGAAGCCCAAAGGACGTGTCTCACCCTCCACGTGCCTTTGGGCTTTGCACACCTGGTGTGGGGCATGGGCGTGTGAGTGTGTGCAAGTGTGTGCACATGTGTGTGGAGGTTTACCAGGCCCTCCCTTGGTACCAGTGCATGTCTGGGGTGAATGCCTGTCCCGTGGCCACCAATTCAATGTTCACTTAGGGACTGTATGGTTATTTAGCCCTTATTCCTGAAGAAGACAGTGGGGCGCAGACTGTCAAGTTAACCTGCCCAGCCGCACCTGCTTATTAGAGATAGAACACGAATTCTAGTCGAGCCGGACTCTGGCACCCGGGCCCCGTTCAGAAGAACTGGAATCTGCAGGCCCCAAGCCTCTCTTTCCTTCCATGGACGGTGTAGCTGGTGCCATATTTGGTGAAAGGTGGGGGTGAGGGGACATGCCTGGAGACCCTGGTAATAACCATTCCTGTACTTTGACAAAAACGGAGTTGTGTGAATGGTTTGATGACGTGCATTTGAATATTGTTGTAATCAGATTTTCTCTTTCAACCCTCCCCCGTTTCTCTCTCACCTCCGCCCCCTACTCTCACTCCCTGACCCTTTCAAGACTCTCGCGCCCAGCTGCCAGCTCCTCGAAACCCGAAGGTTCACCTGTACAATGCCGAGCAGGTTCTGAGTTGGGAGCCGGGGTCGCTGAGCAATGATACAAGACCGGTGGTCTACCAGGTGCAGTTCAAATAGTAAGCTGGATCTTTCTGTTGGCATCCTTACGGGGAGTGGCGCGGGGGGGCTGGGGGCCAGCCGCTCGGGCTTGCCTCTTGGCAGGATTGAGGGCAAATCCACTGGAAGCAGATATTTCTCTGGTACTTTTAAAATCTCGGAGGACAGGGCGCCTGGGTGGCTCAGTCGGTTAAGCGACTGCCTTCGGCTCAGGTCATGATCCCGGAGTTCCGGGATTGAGTCCCGCATGGGGCTCCCTGCTCAGCGGGGAGTCTGTTTCTCCCTCTGACCCTCCCCCCTCTCGTGCTCTCTCTTTCTCATTCTCTCTCTCAAATAAATAAATAAAATCTTTAAAAAAAAAAAAATCTCGGAGGACAGAGATTTCACCACCTCCCACTCACGCGAAGGCTTAGACAGTATTGGTATCAGAGACTCGGCTGCCTCCCCACAGGGCTTCTTAGTTGGGCGGGGAGACTGTTCTCACTGGTTTCAGGAGAGGTGTGTAGAAGAGGGCTTCCTGTCTAGAAAGGGCAGGAGGCACCTTGTAGCCTTCATCTTCTTCAAGTTTGAAAATCTGGTTATTGAACTTTACGGGCCAGATTTGGCCTACTAAGGAAAGTATTCACTTCATTACTACTAATTCTCGATTTCTAAAAGGGGTTTTCCATTTCACACATTCTTCTGGCCCCTCATTCTCTCGCTCACCCGCTTTCACAGTTTATCATCGCTCGGTGTGCAACAGAAACGCGTAAGGGAAAAAGAAAGGCAGAATCGAAGTCCTCCGTTGTTACGTGTTTACCTCGTTACATAGGTTAAGAGAAGACTAAGTTAAAATTATTGGCCGAGTCATTTTATATTACCAGTTACACAAAATTTAAGGAAATGGTAATGCTCAGTGCTTGGGAGAGTGTGGTTGATGGAGATCGTGCTGGGTGAGGACGCGTTCGCACAGCCCTCCAGCAGAGTCATCCACCATAGAGCTAGAGACACAGAAATGTCCACGTCACTTTCCCCCTACGCAGGTAATACAAGCCCCCATCAGAAAAAGAAAAAAAATGGGGTCCCCGGGTGGTTCGGTCAGTTAAGCGTCCGACTCTTGGTTTCAGCTCAGGTCATGATCTCCCAGTTGAGGGATGGAACCCTGAGTCGGGCTCTGTGCTCAGTGCGTAATCTGCTTCAGATTCTCTCTCCCTCTCCCAAAACTCTCGCTCTCTCAAATAAATAAATAAAATCTTAAAAAAAAAAAAAAAGGAAAGGAAAAAAAGCCACTGGTATTCGTGAAGATAGACATTGAAGTATAAATTCATGTCCATCCGCAGAAAAATGCCAAATTGTGTCATGTTAACTAGTAGTTGAACATTAGGCAACTATTAAAAAGGATAATCTGGTAGTGGTTGCAACTGTGTAAAATTTGGACCATATCTGTGGTCAAGAACAGGGAAGGAACCTGGAAAAATTACGGGCACTTCATTTGTAAGAGGAGTGCGTCTCCAGCTGACTTCTTTTTCACCTTTGAATGTCCATTGTAACAACATTTGCTTAATAAAAATCGATTCTAAACCAGGGTTTAGGGGTCATCTCTGAATTACATTTAGCTGTTCCTCAAATAAGTGCCAATAATCTATAGTAAGCAGACCAGTCCACGAGGACCAGCTATATAATTTGTGGGGCCCAGCACAAAATGAAAATGGTGCAAGGCCCCCTGTCCAGAATTACTGAGAACTTCAAGATGGCGACAGCCGAGCATCAAACTGAGTGCCTCCTCAGAGTGGGGCTTTGTGCCCCTCCATGGGTCACGAGCCCGAGAAGCTGGCCCTCCTCAGCATTCAGTAAACATGATGTCGTAGAACTAAACAAGATTTCGGTGACAGGAAGTCACAGCTGATATCCTGACTCGCATCCCTTAGCCTTGAAGGGGGAAGTACATCTCTGGGTCGACAGAGTTCAAGAGATAGTAGAAATATTCCTTGAAGCCTTTGACAGTTTCCTTTCCCAGACTAACATGTTTACTTCGTTTCCCTTTTGGAAAGCATTTTGCAGATGTTTTTTCAGGATAGAGGTTGGTTTTGGTAAAAGAAACAAAGAATGGGGTGAATGTGAACGTCCTTCTTTGGAAAAGTTGAGGGGTAATGAGAAACTGAAACCAGGGCTGGTCTTGTTTTCTTTTCCAATCGCAGATTTGATGAGAGGAGGGCCTTTGCTCTTGTTTTGTTTTTAGAGACTTTTACATGTTTGGGACATTTTAGCGACATGAAATAATTTCATTTTGAGACTTGTGGGACTTAGAACTTTTCCATCCTGTTTCTCTACAGTAAAGCGTTACTGTAATTAGAAATGAAGGTGCCTGTTTTCTGACAGTACAGTAGCCAAAGCCAAAATTACACTGAGCACTGTGGGAAAATGTCAAGTTTAAATCAGGGGTTGCAGAGAGTGTGGCCTTCAGGCTGTGTTTGACCCCGAGTGTTTAATTTTTTTTTTTCACTTAGTGCCAACATTAAAAAATCTGGAGATTTCACTTTGAGAAAACTTGACCTGACCAGCCCAGTCTTCTGAAAACGTTTTTTTATTTCATTTTATTTTTCTGATTTTAACAGCAACACGTGTTCTTTACAAAAAGGCTAGAACACCCAGAAAAGTAGAAAGAATAAAATTTAAACAACCTAGTGCTCTACAGCCCAAGAATAATCCCTATTCTCCTTCTGGCGTATTTCTCTCTAGACTTTTTTCTAAATGCATGCACTTGGTTTGAAAATGTGCCAGGGTATGCGTAAAAATGAAACAAAACTGGGGTTACGCTTTTGGGTGCTGCTTCCTTTTTTTTTTTTTCCAACCAAACATAATTAAGTGTATGAGCACTTTTCCTCCTAATGGTCTCTGTGTAAACATTTTTACTGCTCATTTTATTAGATGATGCATCACACATGATGTATTTAACGCTTCCCCACTTGCGGGTGTAGACGGTCACCAGCTTGGGTCCTCGTACATAAATCATCTGATTGTTTTCTTCATTTGTAGCAGAGGGATTGCTGGGTCAGAGGGGACACTTGCCATTTTTGGAAGTGATCTAACAGAGGCCGAACAGTGAAGTCCATAGTCGCCCAGGTGTGGAACCTGGCACCATTTACATGGTGCTTCCTGGGCACCAGGTCCTGGCTCAGGCACTTTCCTAATGTCGGCTGGTGCAAACTTCATGATCCCTCGGGGAGGCAAATACCATAATTTATCCCCATTTTATAGATAAGGGACTAAGGAACAGAGAGGCAGGTAATGGGGATTTGAACCCAGGTCATCTGGCTCCAGAGTCCATGTGTTCAACCACCATGCTGTGCTCCCTCTCATGATGAGGGCTGCTTTCAAACTGAAATTCAGGGTCAGAGGCAGTCCATGATGGATACATGGTGAGGGGGAGCCCGCTGGACTGTCGGGGTGAGACTCGGCCACGCCCGGGCCACGACAGGAGGCCAAGTCTGGCGGTGGGCGGGGCCCTGCTCGAGGCCGGGGTCACTGAAGTGCGGCCAACATCATCCCCTTATTTACCCCCTTTGCGAAGAGAGGGGGAGGCGGCCTCCAGAACGCAGCTTCCTTTTCCGCACTGCCCCCTGAAACTGCTGTCATGGGTCAGCTGTCACTTAAATTGGGAGGGTTTGTCCCCCCTTAGGCCCCTTTGTGGAGAAACATTGTTCAAAAGCAGTTCTGAGACAGGGCCAAGGGTGGAGGAGAGGGGAGGATGGGGAACAGGAGTAGTCCATTCCCTGGTAAGTCGGGAAATGAGCCTTTGAAATGTGGGGAGCCTTTTGCCCAAGTTCAACAGCTGGGATCTGCAGGGGAGAAGGTTAGAGTATCTCTAAGTATCTGTATAACTTTTTAAAGATCGCTTACCCCTTCTGAAGCACACCCCTAATCTAAGACGGGGCTGCATGTGCTTGGGGATCCCCCTCCCCAGTAGGGTCTGGCCCCTGGGGCTTGGTGGTAATGTGAGTATGGCAGCATCTTCCACGGAAGCCACGGCCACGCATCTTGAAGTGGCCTTCATCTTGCCACTGGCCACTTTGACAGAGGAGTCTCCAGTCAGGGTCAAAGGCACCCTTAGAAGTGTGGTGTGTGAGAGCTGGTGGCAGGGATCCCCAGCCTCGTCTCTTCTGTCTCCCCAGCCTTGCTTTCTAGGCCAGAGCTGCTGTGGGGCGCATAGCCTGTCTCTACAGAGTACACAGCCTACTGCCCCCCATTGAGGTCCCTAGCAGCCACCTCTCTGGTTTTTCTCAAGTCTGTCACCCTAAGCACAGAGATTAAAGCTGGAGAGTAGAGTCCCATGTGGGCGTGTGGCATTGGGACTCTGGGGAATGCATTGTCATTTACAAGAATATGTGGCCTCGTATTTAGCAGGGTTTTCTTTTTTTTTTTTTTTAAGATTTTATTTATTTATTTGACAGAGAGAGACACAGAGAGAGAGGGAACACAAGCAGGGGGAGTGGGAGAGGGAGAAGCAGGCTTCCTGCGGAGCAGGGAGCCCGATGCAGGGCTCGATCCCAGGACCCTGGGACCATGACCTGAGCCGAAGGCAGACGCTTAACGACTGAGCCACCCAGGCGCCCCTTAGCAGGGTTTTCATACGGGTGATGCAAACTTTAAATGGGCAGCTGTGGGATAAAACAAACTCCACACCAGCAGGAAGCATGAGTGGGGTTTGTATGAACACGGTATCTTTCCTAAGACATTGGCTACAGAGGCTGAGTTTGAAGAATCAAAATCAGTTGCAGGACTGAATGGGAAAAGTCTGATAAGAGACTTGCATCCAGAGTATATAAAGAACTCTTACAACTCAACAATTAAAAGACAACCCAATTAAAATACAGAGAAAGGGTTTGAGTAGACAGTTCTCCAAAGAAAATATACAAATGGCCAATAAATACATAAAAAGATGCCCAACATCAATATTCATCAAAGAAATGCGAATTTAAGATCCACCACAGCACCACCACTAGGATGGCCGTAATAAAAAAATAAAAATAAAAAAAAGGCATAATGACAAGTGTTGGTGAGGATGTGGAGAAATTGGAACCCTCATACATTGCAGCTGGGAGTGTAAAATGGTGCAGCCACTTTGGAAGACAGTTTAAAATAAGAGTTAGACCCATCAGTTCCACTCCTAGGCGTTCACCCCAGAGAATTGAGAAGTTATGTCCACAAAGAAATTTGCACGTGAATATTTCTTAGCGTTACACACAACAGCGAAAAAGTGGGAACAGCCACCACGTCCAGAAACAGGTGAACAGAGAAACGGTATGTACTCTAAGTGTATGCGGGGATCGTGTTCGGCCCTCAGAAGGGATGACGTATTGATGCTACGGTATGACGCATCACGCCTGAAAACACGCCCGGTGGAAAGAGCCAATCAGAAAAGACCATGCCGTTTATGAGCCCGTTTGTACGAAATGTCCGGGAGAGGCAAATCCGTAGAAACTGAAAGTAGACAATTAATGGTCGCCCAGGGCTTAGGGGGTTGGGGCACAGTGGGGAGTGAGTGCTAATAGGTACGGGGTTTCTTTGGGGGACTGATAAAAACACCCTAAAATTGATCATGGTGATGGCGGCACAGCCCTTCGAATCTGTACACTTTAACTGGGGTGGATTCTTTGCTCTGCGAGTTGTATCTCAGGAAAGCTGCTTATTAAAAAATCGGCTCTGGGGAAACCGCTGGATGTGGCAGAAGAGAGAAGTCCGTGAAGTGAAAGCCTTTTTTCCTTTGCAGCCCCTCTGACAGTAGGTGGTACGACACCAGGGACATAGGCGTGGACTGTATGAACGTCACCACGACGGAGTGTAACTTCACTCCAACCAGCCTGTCAAATGGTTTCCCACCATATTTCAACGTCTCTTTACGTGTCCGAGCTAAGTTGGAGGACCTGGTTTCCCCATGGCTGTCTGTGCCCTGGTTCCTGTACTACTGGAATGGTAAGAGAACTTGGCTGTAAAACTTCTTGATCATTTAGGCTTTCTTCACTTTACTCCTCACTGAGCAGTATGGATTCCATGCACCCCAGTCCTGTCTCTGACTCCGCATAGCCAGCAAACAGGTGGGTATGACGGTCAAACCCCAGGACCGAGCATGGAGGCTGGTGCTGGAGGAGTGTGATTTGCTAGACCAGGGGCTGGCAAACCACAGCCCGTGGGCCACATCCAGCCCACCAGCCTGTTGTTGTAAATAAAGTTTTAGCAGAACACAATTTCACCGTCTTTTAATAACGTATGGTCTATGGATGCTTTCAGGCCACAGCAATAGAGTCGAACGGTTGCAACAGGGATTGTCTGGCCCGCGAAGCCTAATTTACCAAAAAAGCTTGCTGACCTCTGGGCTGGATGGGACACTAGCATACTGGCTTCAGTGATCCCCCTCATCTCTTCTGACACAACTTCCTTTATGTTCAAGAAAGACTTTCATTCAGCCTTGACCAGTGCCTGGCACAGAGCGGATATGCCGTAAAGCTTGGTTGAATGAGCAGATGTGCTCCCGGAAATCGGAAGAGGGCGTAAGAATCGACAGATACTAGTTTGTACATTTGCTCCTTCCATGATTCATGTCTCACATGGTCAGCTGGGTCCCAGGTTTCTTCAGTGTTTATGGTTTAGGCAAACAAAGTATGGGATCCTGACTCAAACAGAAATAGAGGTAGAAGAAAGCTGAGGAAGTTTGGTCACTGTGTAGCTATTTGATGATCTAGTAAGCGATTATTGTTAGTTTATCTTAGGTATTATCATGGTATTTTATGTTTTTAAAAGCGGGGATCCTATCCTTTAGAGACACGTACTGGAGTTTTTACATGAGATGATGTGATGTTTGGGGTTTGTTCAAAATAATCCAGAGAGTGGGAGGACTGAGGGAAAGGGGGATGAGAGGAACAAAATTGGCCATGACCTGACGGTGGGTACAAGCTGGGTGACAAGGACGTGAGTTGTTGTCTTGATCTGACCTCTCCTTCCTACGTGTTTGAGGTTGTCTGCAACAGGAAGCTAGGAAGAAAAATCAACAGTGTGTGCCAGGTGATGCAGGGATGGAAAGAGAAGACAGCACAGTCCCCTCGAGCTGGGCATTTACTGCGGACAAGTCACCTGTCCTTGCGCAGAGAACCAGCACACATCTGAGCTATGAAATGCCACCTAGGTGGGAACTAGCTAAGAAATAAAGAGAAAGTAATGGTGGTCCCCGGGCCTGGCCCGGGAGAAGAGGAATGGGAATGGAAGCAGGGCCTGTTGTGGAAGTCGTCGGTCCGGTGCCGGGCATCGGCGGCCCCCCGTCCTCCAGGCTTGAGCCAGGCAGCAGCGTTCCCAGGTGGTCCCCGGCTCACTTGTAAAGTCAGGCGTCCTCAGACCCCATCACTGTGTCCAACACTTGTGCAGTTGGGGTGCGTAACCAACACGAGGACGCTTCACTGAGCGTGTGCGGGGCGAGGAGGAGATGGCTGCAGGGGGCAGGCCAGGGCGTCACGTCGACCTAGGTTCAAATCCCAGCTCTGCCCCTTACTGGCTAGGACTCTGGGCCACTGCGATCACCTCTAGGCTTCTGTTTCTCCCTGTGGGAAACGAAGATGACCTTCTTGTTGCCTGGTGTACAATAAGAGCTTAGTCCGTGGAAGCTGCTATCAAGTCATCTACGGATAATTGAAACTCCCCTCAATGTGTTGAGAGAAGGCAGATTGTTTCCCCCTCGAGACACAGGCTCATTCCCCCTCAAAAAGTGCTTCATTGATCGAAAAGGGCTAAGAGCTGCAAGCATTTATTCACACTGTACATGAGACCCAAGAAACCCATATCATAACCTCTTGGCACCTGTCACTTGGTGTCAGATCCTGGATCCAGAACTCTCAGAAGGGCAGGTCTCTCTGCACAGACCTTCCAGGGACAAAGTGACTGGTCACAGCTGACACCCTAGCTTCCAGGCCCACTCCCATGTGTAACTCACAGAAAAGTCTAGAGGACATGTCCTACAGAGGCGAGAGGCCTGAGGCAGGCGGCCGGGCCCTGCTGGTCAGCATCTGCGAGCAGGGTTCACAAAAGCTTCTGGCCACTTGCAGCTAATCCGCTAACGTGGCTCCGGCTGGTGGGGGGCCAGGCCGGCCCGGTCTCTGTCTAGACCTAGTTCCTCCACCACAACCCATGAGACCGGAGGGCATGGCCGCAAACCCTGCAGGGACCAGTTCCTTTCTCACAGAGTAGGGTGGCCCAACCAGATGCCAGAGCCTGGCCCAGCCGGGGGGAGCCCGGGCGAGAGCGCGGAAGGCATGAACAGTCACGAACACAACTGTTCACAGTGATCCGATCGCCTGCACGTGCAAACGGTGCATGAATGGGCCTCTCAGAACTCGTGGGATCCGAGCTATATTCAGTCTGAAGTGCTTGTTTGATACACGCTGGAACCCTTCCTTAACGCACTTCATGACTCACAGTCCTTGGTTGTCCCGTGAACTCTATGAAAAGCTTCAACAAGCAGACTTCCGATGGCAACATCTCTCTGGTACTATTTTTAAACATAGTCTGACAATAAGCTGGGAGACACGGATTTAAAGGTTGACAAATACCACTTTTGTTCATTTATAAAGAAATTATAAGAATGTATATTAAAAATAAATCTACAGAGGAGATACGTGGTAGGTAAGGGTAACAAAATCCTGTCCCCTTCTGCATGAAACTCTGATCTTTGGTTAACCTGGCCGTTTCTCTGGAAGCCTGGTCAAGGTGGCTGTCAGCTATGTTCCTAGGCAGCGTCACTTATGGCAAAATGAGCCCTGACTGATAACCTGCACCTCCCTTGGGGCCATCTTAAATACCTGTTAGGGAGCCATGTCTTTGCTGAGCGCAGCAGTTGTCGTAACTACGTGTCCCTCACGGGGGCTCTAGAAACTCTTCCTGTTGGCGTAAGAGATACTGGCTCTTGGGGCTTTTAAGCCTGGGAGGCTCCTGTACGGGCCTGTTGTGGGTCTCACTCTGCCTGGAAGCTGTGTCCTGGGGTGGGGGTGCGGGGGCGGGCGGACAGACTGGCTCTGGGCCACCACGGGGACGCCTGCCACCGAAGATGAGAAGCCCCTGGTGCCGCACCGTGGTCCCGCTGGTCTTCCTGCCCCCATGGCCTTCCACATGAAGCTTGTGCCCAGAGCAGTCTCTGGGAGTGTTGTGTGCCTGAATGCGACCTCATTGTATTTGTGAGTGTGTGTGTGTGTGTGTGTGTGTACACACTATATATGTAAAATTATGTGTGAGAGGAAAAAACAAACTGAGGGTTGCTGGAGGGG